ATTAGACAGTAATATTCTTGCCAAGACTCACAAGGTCTTAGTTGACCTCAAGGTTCCCATATCAAAGTGAAATTTACTGAATGAGGCCTACTCTGAGCATATTGAAAAACAGCCTATCTGAACCATTTTGGGGAGACCAATCCTACACTCTCAATCTCTCTCCCTATAGAAATCCCCCACTTTGTCTTCTAAAACAGATAGACGGATGGATCCTGTTTTTATCACTACTATTGGTCTCATCACTCAGGCTTTATCAGTTTCTTTCTCAGTATTGGCTTTTGTGAAAACTTGCATACAACTTATTCTGCACCTTTTCCTAAGCTACTCATGTATCTTCTGCTTAATAAAGATCTTTTTACTGAACACCCCCCTCCCATTTTAAATGCTTATTACTCAAAATAGACTATTTCAGGAAGGCAGTCTTTCCTTTCAGATTTCTCTAACTTGCTTCTTTGCATCCCGGACTAAATTGGGGCTCCGGAATGAGTCGTAATTACAACTTCTTTACTTTCATCATTGTGAATCCTGATTCTTTCATTCTGGATTAAAAATGTAGCTTTTTCAGACCCATTAATCCCTCCCATTTTTCCCCAAGATAAGAAAATATTGCCTACTGATAAAACAAACCAGGTTCAATCGATTTCTATCTTGTGTCTCAGGGAGTTTTGTGACTTCGCAGCCTCTCTGTGTAGTTTGATAACTGCGCAAAGAAGGGTTGGAGGAAAGCAGTCATGAAAACAAGAGGGGAAGTGAGGGTTTTCACAATGGGCTGGGTTTTATTTGCTCTCAGAATACCTGAATTTAAATAAATGTACTTTACCAGCACTACTATTAATTTTGCTTCAAATTTTCCTATATGCTATATCTGAGTTTCCTATTTCTTTTTGAGGAGATATTATAACCATATATATATGTGTATATGTATATGTATATATGTGTGTGTGTGTGTGTGTGTGTGTGTGTGTGTGTATATATATATATACCGTGAACTATTTCCTTGTCTTTATTAAGGGAAGAAGTCGGTCAAGTTTGGTCTTACTGTGTAGTACTAGTTCATAAGAAGATAAATGAGAGGATCTCACCGAAATTTTGACCCTAACATTGAGCAGAAATAAATGCTAACCAAAGTTTCCTTCTACTACTACTAACACTACCATTACCATCACATGATATCCACACTCTACTCAAAACAATGGAAATATCCACATCTATTATCCTTGTTTTGTTCATTGATTTTTCTCTTCTTTCTCCTCCCCAATTTACTGGGTTTCCTTGGGGACTTTAAATTTCATTATTGGCCTTCTATTTCACTCTCTAACTTATTTTTCCTAAGGTCTTTTCTCTGAAGGGACATATGCTATGTAAATAAGAATGGAAATGATAGTCTGATGACAAAATTGGCAATGTTGCCTTTTTTCTTTCTTTGGAAGCTGAGATATCTAGAAATGGCTGGTACAAATAGACTACATACATCATAAAAAGGAAACATTTTAAATGTCAACAAAATCAATATAAGTACAAACTGGACTTTCTTCTGAAAAAAAAAAAAAATGAAGCCCAGAAATAATTGAACCTAATTATTTTGCTTCTAGAGTTCCTGAAACCACAAAGTAACTTCTTTCCTGGTAATCACTGTTACATTTGCAGAATAAAACTTAACCATTAATGGAGCTTAAATTTGGTTTTATTTAAATGTGCTTCTCTGACTCAGTTCCAAGAACAATTCTATTTGCATTAATACATCTGGTCCCTGGAAACAAAAAAAAAAAAAAAAATACAACCAAAAGTATCCGATGGCATTTATGTGGGTTTGTGCCACATAAATTTATGTGGGTTTGTGCAGGGTTGTGTAGTTTAATAACTGAGACTTTAGGGAGACACTAGATAGAAGGGAACTTTAAAAATGAGCAAAGAAACAAAAGCCCTGTAGTGTGCTATTATTGTAAAGATGCTCTACTGCATATGTTACATGCAACTTATCCTTTGTTGAGTGCCATATGTGTTTTAATGGCATTCTTTTAAAATCTTTGCATACTCATCCAAAGGAAATAGATACCTTATCCACAGCCCCACCCACCCCACCCCTCCCGCCCTCAAAAGATTGATTCAAGGGGTCCAAAACTCAGAGAATTTTAACTTTTGAGAAAAAGCATTTTAGATTTACTAAGAACTTCCATTTATTCATGATCAGTGAATAAAAGGCTGTCACTTCAGCCCCATCAAGACATTCCATTTCATTCTAAGCTTGAACTGAGCCTATTCACTAAGGTGAAAGTATAAAGCCTGGCCAAAGAAACCTAGAGCTTGCTCCACAATCCCTACATTTTACTTTTACCTTCTTCTGGAGATCATAATAAAAGGATAAAAGTCACAAATACATATACCAACATAGCCACCATTCTAGTTCAATTGCAGTAAAATGTAAACAACCCCAGAACTTTCTTTGTGTATGTTCTCATCAATAACCTTATCCCAAAGTGAACCACTCCTCTCAATTTTATTTTCACAAATTGTTTTCTCAATTCTTGACTTTCACATAAGTGGGATGATGTAGAATGCAGGTGTCATGTCTGGGTTTGTTATCTGTTATTGTAGTATTTTGTAAAGATTACACTAGTGAGGAGAAGTATTGGGGTGAGGCCAGAGGTGCAGGAATGAAAGAATGTACTAGAGATAGAGTAGAGAACAAGAACGGCAGATTTATTGAAATAAACTGGTAGGCAAGATGGGAGAAGTCTGTTCCAGAAGGAGGATTTGAGGCTCTCTTTTATTCTGTTTCTGTGGTTCTAATTTGAGGTGCTAGTTTGCACCAGTTATCTGCTGGGATGTCTGGTCTCAGGTGCTGGCCGCTGTGTCTGCACTCCTGGAGCTGGGCTGGTTTTTCTGGTCATGGTGGTGGGTCTTATGGCCTTGTCTCCAAGGCAACCTTATCAATCCCCTTATACATTCAAGTCTCCCAAACCTGCCTGCTGGGTAAGGAGTGGGGCTTAATTTTCCATGTTATTAAATTTTATCCCAACCTAGGATCCACTATAATCATATCATCTTTGTATCTACATTTGATAAACCCTGTGATTGTTTCCTGTGAACTGTGGTGAAAAAGTTAAGGATATGTACATTATTGTACATATCCTTTGTCTAGTGCAGTTTTAAGTTAGCAACTGATTATTCATTCCTGTTTTATGCTTAGTAATAGAAGTGTTTATCCATAGCTTATTCTTATAATGCATTACTAGATATGGACATTCTTCCTGAAGTGAGCATATAAAATGATATATTCACCAGCAACGCATATGCATGAGTGTTTGGTTGCTGTAAACCATAGCCAACTCTCAACACCACTAGTCTTGTCTTTTCACCATGCTGAATGGCTTCATTATGATTTTAATTCATACTTGATGGCAATAATTGAGTTTCTTAGGTTTACATTTTTAGGTTTATAGTATGTTTATGTTTTTAGTATGTTTGCTCAATAGGGCCAAACATCCATGAACACATATTTTCAGGCCCTGCCCATTACTAGTGCTCCAAATTCTCTGCCATGTTCCATCGGGCCTCTCTCCTCCCCAACTGGTTGCCTGAGTTTTGTGATCAGATAGTTTGTTTTTTGACTGATCCTTTATTTCAGTTTCTCTGTATTCCACACATGAGACCATTTTATATTCATCTTCCTCATTCTGAATTATTTTCCTTAGCATTAGTGTTGTCCATATTGTTGCAAATGGCAGTTCATCCTTTCTTATAGCTGAGCAGTATTCCATTGTTGGTATATACACCAGTGTTCTGATCCACTTCTCTGTCCTTGGGCACTTATGTTCAATAATACCATTTGTGTCTTTTTTTTTTCCAATGTCATTATTTTTATAGGTGCCATACCTGGACCATGTGTGCAATCCAAAAGGTATATAACCTTTTTCTCCAGCTAAGTTGAGGGGACTCTGAATCCTAGCACTTGTGTTCATGTCTCATGCATTAGTGCTTTCTTATATTACCTTCACTGAAAATAATTTTCTCTACTCCGTGACACCTTTGTAATGGAAAGCATGCATTAAATTAAATAACAAAATAATTCCATATATAATCTTTTAATATGAGAAGGTCAAAACTAGTTGGTTCATTTAATATAAGATTTTTTCATTCTTTTTTTTTTTAAAGATTTATTTATACAAGCACTGGGTACAGTCAGAAGCACAGGAGGGTGAGAGAATTCACCAGAGCCAGAGCAGGGAGCAGAGCAGGCAGAAGGACCAAAGTACACTGCTGAGGGGAGCAGCGGGCGGCAGGAGAGGTCTGCGCACCATGTGGGACCCTCCTCCGATGGCCTGGGAGCAGCTGGGATCGAACCGATGCTGTAGAGGCCGCGGGCAGCCTCACAACCCAGCGCTCAACCACTGCACCACCGGGGAGGCCCCGATTTTTTCATTCTTATCAGACAATTCTATTCCTTGAGAATATTGTACAACTGCCTGAACCACAGCATCTATATCTCTACATTCTCATTTCCTTTCTCTTCTGTCTGCTTCTGTCCTCCTCCTCACTCTCATTTTGCTCCCTCTTGAAATGTCTTAGGGGAGTAACTAAGTATTTATTGATTAACTGATTAGAGAAATGTTCCACTGTACCAGTTAATCTAATTGCAACAGAGAAAATTGCTGCAAGATCTGGTTTGTCTGATTTCCATGTTTTGAACTTCCCTTTCTCATTTGGTTGATATTTAGGAAATGAGGTAGATTGTTGTAAATATAATTAGGAAGTGCAATACTGGTGATATTGGGGCTATGATTATTTGAAACTCATGGAGAGCAACAGAAACAGACAAAATTACATTTAAAGTGAAGAGCAATGGAGGGACAAAAGATGGCCATATGCTAACAAGTAAATAAAATTAACCAAAGACCAAAACATTTTCTTAAATATATATTATATATAGACTATGAACATATAAATATATGTGATATATAATACATGTAATATTCATATTTCACAATATCCTAAAACTTTCCACTTCTTTAGTGATGGTACACCAGCTCATTTTGCCCTGCCAAGATTCCAGAAACCAACTATGTATGTATTCTCAATCACTACCAGATCCTGGCACTCAGCCTAGAATTACTTTATTACTCATTTTACTCTTACACTGTTAGATCAATGACATTACATAAGAAGATTCAAGGAACAAAAAATGGCACAAGGAAGAGTGTACATGAGCAATAATACATCAGATAAGCATGGTGAAAACCAAGTATTGATAAACACATTTCTAGTAAGTTCAGTTTCCCTATTTAGAAAGCCCCTTACAGAGAGAAAAAGACAAAAATACCTACTTTTGTGACTTATTTGAGCATTTATGAAATTTAGAAAAGATAGAGGAAATCTCTCCATCTGTGTAATTTCTTGTTAAAGAACCATCTCGGCTGTTTAAGGGAAATAGGCGTCCATTTCCTCTTCGTTACTTATTCCTCAATCTGAACAGTGTTCTTGCATTAAACATACACAAAATGACATTAATATTTTCAAACCAGATATGCTCTTATGTCCACTTTTTCGATAGGATAATTATGGTGCAGCTCATAGAATTATGGGTGTTGAGAGCTTCACTGTCTTCTTAGCTTGCTGAGGGTCAAAGAGGTAGCCTTGTGAAGGAAGGCCCTCTAGAGAAAGCAGAGAAATACATCAGGAACAGCAAAGAAAATGTTAGTTTCCCTCCCAAGCTTTTGTAATTGTTTTCTTATGCTGGAAGGGGATAATCAGTAGAGGGCATCTCTGCAAAAGTTAAATCAGCTTTGGCTTGGCTCATTTGTACAGCCTTTCAGAATAAGATGTTATAGCCACTGATGAGTTTCTTTTTAATGACTGTTTTCTCCAGCAGTATTTTATAAATGGTGTTGCATTAGAGAGTAAATGAAACTTCCCTGAAGAACACACTCCACCATGCCTTTAGTGTCTTCACTGACACATCTGTGAAGACAAATGGACCCTAAAGAGCTAGCTGCAAACTAAGTGAGTCATATTTGTCTCCCAGGAATGTTTTATATGCTGCAAAATGTGACAAAGGCCATTACAGAGATTATATTTCCCAGCAATGACTCCAATGTCCATCCTCTACTATTCCAAACTTTCAGACAATTGCTATGGAATTACTCATGGCCCAGGAGTAAGCAGTCACTGACTAGCTGCCCTGATAGTTTCTCTAGAGAGGCAATGACAATACATTTCTTAAATTAAGAATAGGTGTTGAAAAGTTATTTAAAAATAACTTCCTAATTCTTAAAAAATAAAAACTAGCATGCCAAGTTTATTTTGCTAAGCAAGTTATGACAATTATGGCCAATTAAATTTAAAAAATTAAATTAAAAAATTAAAATTAATTAAAAAATTAAATTAAAAAAATAATATCACTACACACATACACACACACATATATAAAGATATTTTCGTTTTCTTCTAAATGGGTATTTGTTTAAAAATGTTAAATAGGTCAAATAAGGTCAATTAAAATTCTTCTATTTATTGAGAATTACTGAACTAGGAAGAGGGCCTGTGACCTTGTGGAGATTATGATAGTTAAAATAGATCTCACAGCTGCAGCAAAAGTACCCAACCATGTAGTAGATTGCTTGATGCATATCTTACAAACAGGTAGTATACATTTCAAATGGAATTACCATTGTTTCAAGAAGTAACTCCAATTTGAGGTAATTGTGAGAGGATGAATTGGTAATTTCACAAGTGTGAAATTGGGCTATGCTTTTCAGATTCTCAGGTACAGTGAAAATGAGTGTGCCACTTATTGAAGCTATATCAGACCTACATCAGAAAAGTGATAGTTGGCCCTAATCTGGGCCAAATCAACTCTGATTAGCTTCACACTGGCTCAATCCTGTGTTTCCAAACCCCTCCCTTTCATGGCATTTGACCTATCACCTTTTAGCAACTCCATGATTTTGTCCTGTGTATCTTCTATGGAGATTTACCTTATGATCCGGATTTCTCTCTCATGTTATGGGCAGAATGTCCTCATTCTTCTTCATCTTTTGTACTACTTTCATATGCTCCTGGATCTGGGCAATGTTGCACTTGGTGGAACCAATGGCAATTTGAATGTCAGGTAACAAAGCTAACAAAATGAACTACACACATAAAAAATAATATCAATTCATCTTTCTTACTTGTGCACTAATTCTCTTGAAACTAATTGTCTATACGAATTAGAATAGCAGTAAAGCTGGTGGTATGGTATAATTTCATCATGGTTGTCTTCTGTGTAAATAACAGCCTCCCAGATTTTCATCCTGCTTTTTGTCATGATGAGGCCATGATGCTCAGGGGACACCCTGATGGCATCCTCACTAGTCAAATCCCGTGACAACAGCAGAACGTAGTAAAAGGCCAATTAACTTCTCTCAGGAACATTCTTATATTTAAAGAACTTGAGATAGGCACAGCAGGCATGGGAAAATAGAACATGATTGAAACTAAGTAGAATGCAAAATTAGTCTTGTATTCCCAAAAAACCTGTAACATCTGCAGATAACTTTATTACTGGGACACTGAATATCTTGCTTGCTTACCCACACCACTTACAGCCACACTGTAGAGCACATACTTAAGAAATAATTAGCTGTATTTCTCTTTCACCCCTTAACAAATACATGTGTGTCTGTGGAATGTAACCACCATAAGTAGATATTGATCTTTTGTATACAGTTTGGTAAATTCTGACAATCTATTGAAAGAATAATCATGGTTTGGTGTGGGTGGTATGGAAAACCCTGTGTTTTGACAAACAGATCAGGAGCACAGACCAATTGTCTGCAGTGACTTGGAATTTAGCAGGGAACTGGAATAATGATGTCTGGCGCTCAGGAGAGCAGCATCCAGTTTATAATTCAAGATCTTGAATGTCTACCATCATTGAACTAGATTTTCCACACTAAAGAATGATGGAGCAAAAGAAAAGGCATGATTTCTGGATATGGTTTTTCATTTTTGTTTAGAAAATATTAGTAGCTGTGTTTTACTATTAAATGGGTAAACCATATCAAAATCTCTAAATTTATAATTATAAATGTATTTACATTCAGAGAGAGGAAAGAAAAGTGTAAGAAGAGGAAACTGGGTAAGTTGAATATATTTTGGAATGAGGTTATATAGAAAGCCAAAGATTAAATGCAGTTAATATGATTAAGTAAATTTAATCATTATTAGGTAAATAGGTACATATCACCTCTTCACTGAGGGTTGAGAAATAATCAGATATACCACTGGAGATTGCCTTTACCTAGCAACTACTTATTGTCCACATTCTTTTGTTACACTAATGCCAATAAGTAGGGAAAATCATACCTATGCAATATGTTATGCTACCTGTGCTTAATATTATCTAAGCAAGTGATTTTACCAAACAGCTTCTGATTTAAATTGATGGTCATCATCCATCCCTACTTTGGTCTTAGGATTACAGAAGTACTCTAGTTTATCTTCATTTTACAGCCCTCTTAAGATAGATTGGTTTTTATTATGCTAAGGTGATTATCGTGGAATCATCTAGAATACAATGTCACCCATTAGGTCATTTAATCTTAGCACACTATAACTTATTACAAGTAGATGCCCAACAATATGAAATATGTGTCCTTAGTAAGTCAGGATTACATGAAGGCATTCAATTTTACTTTACAGGGAAATTAGGAGTAGACTTCTCTAAATTGGTAAACTGAGTGAAATAAAGATCACCCTTCCAGCAGTAGTTCTTTCAGAGCATTTCCACTTGACATCTTCTTTTAGTGTTTCCTCTAGCTCCCCATGAGAGAGACCTACTTTGCTTTCATTTAGGGTCTTCTCTGATAGAGGGGAAATCTCCCCCATTTCTCAGTTCCCATATTATATCAATAGTCATTTTCTTAGTCTAACTGTATTAGAAATGAGATATTAGAAACTATATTGAGACTAGAACTATGAAAGACGGTACCTATGTTGTTAGGAGTTCTGAAAGTTGATTTGTTAGAATCACTTGATTATTGTGAATTTTTCTTCTGAGTCCACCATTAAAGATGTTTTCCTCAATTTAAAATTTAATTTAAAGCTAAACCTAAAATTGATCCCCTGGATTAGACATCCATTTAAGCTCCCCTTAGGTATTTATACTTATGGACAATATGGAAAACAGTTTTTAATAGGGAGGTCATTGTACTCTTGAGTGTGCTTCTGTGGTGGGAAAGGGACAGTATACCATTATCACCTATACCTTAATCAGAAAAAAAATTGTATACAAAGTTGCTACATAAAGTAGATTTCCCAAGTGAGCTATAATGTACAAAGTTAATTGGTATTTTGTATTCAGCACATTAAACTCCAACCTCCAACTGATAATCTAAGCAGTTGGAAAATAAGTGCACTACAAGATGTAACATAGTTTTTTGTTCAAAGACACAGATGGAACATGGTTACATTCTATTCTCATTGACTTTATTACCTTGAACATATCACTGTACTTTTTTTTTCATTCTCTTTACCTATAAAATGGTGATGATTTATGATCCACAGTCCACTGCAATTAATTCTGTACATTGTCAAGTATATGACAGGTGATCAATGAAATATTATCATAGATGGAAGTATTTCAGTGGTGAGAAACTTTTGCTGGTAGAAAAGTAGAACATCTCACACTGATACAATTTGGTTTGTGAAATACAAATTGACCCTACAGCATACAAGAACTGGATACTCTCTATAGTTTTCATTAAGAAAGATAATCTGTATCTGGGGAGTTCTTAACATGTACTAGTCAATCATTTGAGAATCATGGCAAGAATATACCTGCTAAAATTAAGATATTAAACATTTTTGCTTCAATCATGAGAAACAGAAAACTCATTATTACTATTAACTGATGTTTTGGAAAATGTGTTCTATACTAAGGAATGTGTTAAGAAACTTTTAGTTTCACAACAGTCAGAGAGTAGTGTTAAGATCATCTCTGTTTTACAATGTGACCCTCTGAGGCACAATGCTCAGAAAAGAAATCCACTGGATACAATGAATAGATAAATGGATAGGTAGAATAATTCATAAATATATCCTTCAGACAGATTATCAGTGCTACACAGTTTAAATTTGGAAGCACCTAAAACTAGGGTTCTATGCAGTGGCAACAACAGTAATATTGACCCGATTAATGTTGGTCAATGCTGCTGCTGAAGCTAAAACAAATCAGCCCCAAGACCTGTGCCAGGCTTGATTCTAGTGTACATAGGGAAGGAAAGTCCAAGGATTAAAAGACAAAGTGTGTTTATTTCTAGAGATGTGTGACTGTGATAAATTGCTACCAGTTCTCTTTGTCTCCACATTTGAAACATTTTAGACATACAGATTCCCGCACCCCTCTCCAAAATCCCAAAGAATAATTTCAGAAGGCTGTACATACTTGACCATGTAGAACTGAGATTCTTACCACCCCAAGGGTAAACATGAAGGTTGAAGTTTGCCTTCTTGCTGTCCCACACCTAGATCATATAATTTTGTTGTATCTGTTGAGACAATAAATGAGTAGATGAGTTAATTTATTGAATATCCTTGACAGACCTCCTAAATTAACATTCATTTTTTATGTCTACACTTAAAAGCACTCACTGGCTTCCTATAATCACTGATTGATTGTTGAATTTCTTCCCAGCTTGGTTCATCTTCATACCCCTTCGTATCCAGTTTCCTAATTCTCTCTAGTCAGTATTTAATAGACAAACAATAATAAAACATAATGTTCATTAATCACTGCGATTATTCCAAGCACTTAAAACCGAGACACTGTAAGTTTGGAAGTCTCATTCCCCATTTGTCACTAACAAACACTGAGACTACAGATACCAAAATATTCACCCACAGATAGACACTTCACTGCTACTCACCAGAGTCTTCTACTCATACCGGTTCCTCTGTTGACTTCTGATCATCAGTGAAACAAACTAATGCTCTCTGGCTCTATCTTCAATGGATTAACACATGAAACTTTAAGGAGTTGACCTCACTGCTTTTATCAACCTTAACCATCAGTAGCTGTCATTTGCATAGATCACCACTGACCATATGCTTTAGGAAGCTGCTCTATGCTCAAGATAACCCTCATGTATCACGATGAACTCTTCAAGTCATACTGATGAATATGATATTGAACAGACATTTATTAGTTCTATTCAATGAGTTATCTCTAATTCTAACTGACAGGTAACATTTTTGGAAGTTATTTTCAGATAGCAAATAGATTTAAATTGTACATTTATAATGTTTCATATCTGATACTACTGCTAGATTTGGAGATACTGGATTATTTCTTCTTTAGTCTTCGATTGTAAGAAAAATGAAACATCTATGCTTACATGAAATCAGTACAGCTGACATTTTCATTACGCCCAATTAACAAGATAAGTACCACATTGGAGAGCAAATGTAGGGCTAAATTAACTTGGTATAATATCTGAGTCTTAAACATATGTCTAAATTTAGTTTGTGGGATAAAAACATCGTACTTTAAAGATGATATTAAAAATTCTAATTTTTTGGCTTCAAATTTAATATAATTTTCATTGTTGAATTGAAAACTTCAATTTAGGTTGTCAGTTAATATTGACAAGTTATTCAACTATAACTCCATGCACAGATTCAAATATACCAAATGACTTACCATTGTATTCAATGGCCTACTTTTCTATATTTAATAATGTTTTAGTTTAGACATTTCCATGGTTTAAAATCATAAGTAATTGGAAATGTAATGTCATTTATTAATTAGTTTTGAAAACTAAAAACTAGTTAAATACTGAGAAAATGTCAAGAGACTATGTTAACTAAAAAAAAAGTGCTATTAAACTCTAAAAATTACATAGATAATTTGCAATGTCTTTATGGTTATTTAATTTTATCCTGTTTTGATTGGAATATATATAGATGTGTCATTTAGACAAACTTCCTTCAGCTTCAAAAAAAAAAAAAAAAGACCAGATACATGGCTTAAGTAGGTGTCAAGTAAAAGTACATTTAAGACAGGAACACAAAGTAATTATACTCTAATTAATCTTTAAAAGAAAAGGAAAAAATCCTACTACAGTTCATGGAGTCATCAGAATAAAAATGGGTGGAAAAGAGAATTTCACATGATTGTTATCATTTTAAAACTCAGTTAATTAGAATATTCATATAGTTCTGGACTCACTGAAGGGAAGAAAATTAAAAATAGAATTGAGCAGTATTTACCAGTTGGTCTCACAAAATATTATGAATTAAGATGAAACAGTTCCCTTTATAGGGAAGGAATTTATTTTCTTATTCTCTACTGGGCTTCCAATGCTGAGAAGGCTATCTGGCACATGTCAAATCATAAATATTTGATAAATGGATAAGTAAAACAAAGTTTAATTATTATAACATAATTAAAAATTGAATGTACTTTGGAAGATGAAGCAGAAAATGTAATTTAGAGAAAGTTACCAAAACAAGCATGTCACTTTGTGTTTTTTGGGTTTTTTTTTGCTTTATAATGTTAGTTATACATGCCTGAGGATCCAGACATTTAAGGGAGAAGAACTGTATTTTGTCCTTTTAATTCAAGCTCTCATTTCAACTCTTACTATCCATGCATTCTGACAAATGATGTGGTTAAAAATACATATATGTTTCTTCATCCTATGTCATCCTATGTTAGAATTTTGTCACATAAGATTTCAAAAATCTACTTAATTTTAGCACAAATCCTCTGAACATAAATATGTATCAGGAGATATACTGGTTTATGAAACACTGAAAAGAATTCAAACACTTGGACTCTAGCTAGTATTGATGCTGGAATTATTCAGTGGTTAAAAACATGAATTTTCACTTTGACCACATATAGGGTTGGGCCAGTATTTTCCAGAGTATGATGCTAGGCATATAACTTTCAAACATTAAATCTCAGTATTATCATATTAAAAATGTAAGAAGCATTCAGTATTTTGTGAAAAATGAAAAGATTATGTATTCCTGTCACATATTAAGTACTCCATAAATGATGCTTTATTAAAAACAGCATAATGATAATATACTTATTTTTACACATCTGCCATATACAATGAGGTGTTACCAATATGAACCGAAAAAAACAAATTAAAAATTCCAATCTTGTAAAGGATTTGCGTTCCAGTAGCAAATATACTCATAAACATCAAGAAGAACATAATCTAGTGTGTTAGTATTGAGTAATATGGTGAAGATAAGACAAGCATTATCAACCAGGCTCATTGAAAGAAAGGCAGTGATCACAATTTTAAATAAGGTATATAAGCAAGACTTCACCAAGAATGTGATATTTACAAATAGGTATTTACTCAAATTTCTATTCATCAAAACACATTTCTGATATGGGGGATTTTCCACTTAATTTTATTTATTTTGGTTTGGAAAAATGTATGTCCAACATAAATGATTTACATTTGAAATTATCACATTGAGCAACTTATACACATATTTAAATATATATGTGATATATGTAGCTATGTCTATATGCATGTGCATATACTTATACTTTTGTCTTTAGGTATATAGATATTTATCCTTATTTTCATACGTACCTAATAGTTTTCACAACATTTTCTCAAACATAAATGTTCCATTATGATTGGACAACTTGACATATACATGAGAAATATTGCTGAGATAGAACTTACTAGACTTTGTACCTGACAAAAATTTGTAGTTTTCAGTAAAGGGAGATATCCCAGAGAACTCATAGATTTTGGATTGAATATGATAAATGTCAGAAATAGATCCACAGGAGAAACATAGGTTTGAATGCAAAGATAACGTGTTTCACATGGAACATACTAGGATGTGTGTCTGGGGGAATATAAGATGTAAGTAAGTACCAGGAACCAACTGTTACACAGTTCAGAGCCCCAGAAGATGGTATTTTATGAGAGGAAAAGATCTTGAATGTAATGGGTTGAAATCATAAAAGTAGGTGGAATCATCAAGGAATATGCTGTAAGAGTACTAAAGAGTAGTATTTGTGGGAGGTACTTGGGGAAGGAATCCTACAAGATCTGAGATTGAGAACCAAACTACATACAGAGAATTAATAGTTAAAAATCAGTACATTATAAACTTAAAAATATTTAATCAAAGCATATTCTTTTCCTCTTATTTAAATATTGAAAAAATATTTCCCAGAAAATGTAAAGAATAACTAATAATAATATCTGAATCATATAAAGTGTTGTAAACCTTAATTGAAAAATTAAAAACGGATATCTCATGGCCATCATCAATTTACCTCTTTTTATGTGTCATGCAGCCTAAGCTTCTTTATTCTTCTGGATGGTGCTATGAAACAAATATTATCATCATTGTGATCAAAGAAACAGAGGCATAAATAGTGCCCTGTCCTCACAAAACTTTAGAAGTAGAATAAAATTATAAACACATAGGTTTCCAAATGTGGTGTGACAAGTTACATGTCAGTAGATCTGCTGAGATCACATATAGATGAGCCTCATCCCCTAACTGGTAGAGTTTGAAGTTGTTGTGGAGTCAGTCATAAGTAATGCAAAGGAGCCAGGAGTGAGGGAGTAGATATTCTGACAAGAGCAAGCAAGATATATCATGCAACAACAACAACAACAAACACTTCAACAGAAAGGGTAACTTCAGATGGTTTGAACAAAAATTGGTGATGAAGACAGGAAGTCCCTAGAACAGCCACAATAACATCTGGCTATCACATGGTGTAGTGGCACCATGCTCACATCAGCAGGTGGCTACTATGCTGGAATGGAAGACTGGCGAGAAGAGTTTCAGGAAGTGTGATGAGCGGGTCAAATTCTGAACTTAGTGATGCAATCACAACTGGTTGTGGAATTAGTGGGATCCTATTTATAGTTGGTTGAAAGCAAACAGGTTATTTATTAGTAAGTAGAGTTTGATTTTGAAAGATGTATTAGGTTCTCTGCTGTCACCATAGTTTTGATGAGTTCTTTCTGACAATTCCACATACTTGTGTTATTTACCTCATGTCTATATTTCTAGCTGGTGATTAAGTTTAGGACTGAACATTTTTCTTTAGTGAACTCACCAAAATAGTATTATTCTGGCTTATTTATATTTCTCCTCCATTCATTCAAATTCATTAAATAGTGACTGAATGGATAAGAAATATAAGGTAGATTATAGGGTGCAAGGATTTTTTTTTTTAATTTTAAGCTTCAATAGATTTAATAGGTGTTTAAGTATAAAGTCAGGATAGGAAAAAACAGAAGATTGAAAGTATAGAAGCATGATAGACATCCCAATCTTGGATGGAAAGGTGTATGAGGTTTGTAGAGAGAAGATAGGGAATAGAGTGAAAACCAAAGTGGGAGAGAGAATCCTTGAAGCAAAGTACTGAGAAAACTAGTTCTGAGAGTGGAAGACAGTATAAAGATGCCTTGGATTTAGGCATAGCTTTAGCAGTGGTAAAGGGAAAATAACATCAATATTTTCTATTTCACTGTGATACCAGAAGCAAAATCATCTAGTGAGAATAAGAGGGTAAACAGAATGAAATCTGCATCAATT